AGGAATGATGATGACGATTTTGAAGATTTGCCAGAATTCGGGTGCGATTTGGGGCATGCAACCCATAAATCTGTTGAATCAATGCAAAATACCCCTAGTGAAGGTAAGCAAAATACCCCTAGTGAAGGTAAGCAAAATACCCCTGTTGATAGAAGGACTCGTTCTCATAGCGGGACTCCCAGCGATAGAGTAACGAGGTCACACACTGCTCGGGATGTAGTTATTGAAAAAGGCACAAGTTCAAAAAGAAAGATTAAAATAGTGGGAAAGGATATTGTGAAGGATATGGGTAAAGGTTCTAAAAGGAAGGCTAAAAGTGATGGGGATGATGTTCCATCAAAAAAGAGAAAAGTTCGTGCTAATCAAAAATGTTCTAGTTCATCTGATTTGAAGGTATTTTCTAATGATATAACTTTGACTTGTGTGCGGATAGTTTATTTTAATATGTAGAAATTTGAGATAACCAATATAGTAGTTATGTTCCAGATTTGTATATAAAATATATCATTCTTTTTCATATTGTATATAATGTGTATCAAGTCAATAAGTAATGTGCAACTTTTGTATATAAAGTGTATCATCTATCCACATATTGTATAAGTAATGTTTAAAGTGCGTAATTGTGATTGTTATGAAGCTTATATATATTTATATTTTTGTGTTGTTTGCAGCTTTGGGATTACTATGTTCCTTTGGGTGATCATTATAGTACCCGTATTAGTGTGCATACAAACTGCAGTATAGTGAAACATTTGAAAGATAATTTGGATGATCAGCAGATTGAGATGTTTAGAAGAACATGTTTTGGTTATTTTGTGGGCTTGCCCGAATTTTTTATACAGAACCAACTTATCCATTCACTATTTCTTAGGGAAGTAATGTCACCTAAAGATAATGAGTTATGGATTAAAGTGAATAGCACCAAGTTGCGCTTTGGACTTGCAGAGTTTTGTATTATCACAGGTTTAAAGTGTAATGGTGATCCTAATAAGGATTATAAATCTGTCCAGTCGAGTCGGTTGATGGAATTATACTTTCCAAGCATGTTGATAGTATCTAAGAAATTGTTAACCGACTGTTTCTTAAAAAAGATGTGGAAATCTGATGAGGATGCATTAAAGATTGCAGTATTGTATTTCATTCACAGTTTCCTGTTTTCTATTACGAATGATGATTTGATTACAAAGAATGATTTTCTGTTGGTTGAATCTGGTGATTTTGAGACTTTCCCTTGGGGAAAAGTGATTTTTAATGCTACGTTGGAGTCAATGAAGGATAAGGTTCGTAGCAAGAGAGAGATGTACCGATATGGTGGTTTGCCTGGCATTCCAGTGTTGGTTTTATGAATGCTGCCCCTACAATCACAAAAACCTCGCTTATCGGATTAGAGAGCTTGTTCCACGCATACTTAACTGGCAAGTAAAGAAGAAGGTGACGTTTAAGAGGTTGAGGAAAGAGTTTTTTGTTTTAAGTCAAGATCAGGTAAAAAATATACATTTCTGATACATAAATTATACATTTCTGATACATATTATGCATTTCTGATACATTTCTTATACATTTCTGATACATGAATTATGCATTCTGATACATTTATGATACATTTTTGATACATTTATGATACATTTCTGATACATTTTTGATACATTTTTGATACATTTCTGATACATTAATTATGCATTTCTGATACATAAGTTGTCTTTTTTTTTTAAAAAAAATCATGATTGCTAACTTTTATTTATTTATTTATTTATAGTTGGTGTTTGGCAACATTTCCCCAACAAATGATGAACAAACAAGGCTTCAATTGCATGACTTTGTTCCGGTTTGTGAAGATAAAAATGAGATTCATATTGAATCTGGAGTCGTGGCTGAAGTTAAAACAAATGCTAAGAAGCACTCCAAAAATAAGCCGAAATCACAATCTATCAATAATGAGCATCCGGATCCACTGCCCAGTAACTTGAATTCAAGCGAGACAGAGCTGAAACTTCTGAGAAGTGAAATCAAGAAGGTACAATTTGTTCTTCAACTTAATTGATATTCGGTTTCATTTTTCCTTTTATAGGTAAACGACAAGGTTTCATCTTTGGAGAACTTAATGATTTCCTCATTCGAAAAGGTTTTTAAAGCTCTAGGTGAACGTGATGCTTCAAAGGTATTCTCATGACTATGCTTATTTGTTATTTTTACCTTTTACTATACTTTTACAACTTTTTGTATATTTTTTCTGAACAGGGTAATCGAAAAGATGACGACCATCATGATAAGAACGTTTCAGAGAATAACTTTGGTAGTGAGGAAGTTATGGAGAAAAATATTGGCATTCAAGAAGTTGTAAAGAAAAATGTTGACAATGAGGTAAGTCTAGAGCAAACCGTTGATGTTATGGAGGGTGTGGTGAAGGATTCTATACAAGATGGTAAAAGTAGTGAAGGAGTTGGTGATGACGAAGCCTGGATTGAGGATGCCGAGCCTGAAATCACTGCAATCACCCAGAAGTTTTGTGACAAAAATACTGCTAATATGGGGAGTTTGGGGGATGATTCTGTACAACTTGGTAAAACTAGTTGTGAGGAAGTTGGTGAGGACAATAGCTGGAGTAGTGATGCTGAGGCTAGGAGTGGAGAAAAATATTGCTACTATGCAGGAAGATCGTATAGTTGTTGATCATGACACACCTGAAATGAACCCTAGAGAAAGGAAACCAGCAGGGGTCATGAAGTCACCATTCATGAACACATTTGACTCTGGTGGCACCATCCAAGTTGTTGAAAATAAGCCAACTAAGTCAAAGAAGCCCATCTTGACTATTAAGTATCCTTTTAAGGGAAATGTTGACAATCCTGTTGATTTTAAAGTATTGTGTAAGTGGAACACTTTCATCAATAGAGGCTTAAGGACTAATGCACCGTAAGTTTTGTGTTTCAGTTTTTTCTTTTTTCTTTTTTCTTTTTTTTTCTTGTTTATTTTCGTGTTTTGAACCATATCTTTTTATCATGGTTCATCAGGGACGGTATTTATACAGAGGCTAGCAATAAGCTAAAGAAAATCTTTGAATTTGGAGTTGATGATATTGGAGAAAAAAAATGGTTCTTGACATTTGCATATCCCGGCCTACCCTTGTGTGATTCAGTAAGTCAACGCTTTAACTGTAAAATATAAACTGGTGATATACATTTTTAGTTTTCTCATACTGTAATTTTCTGACTATGTGTGTATATTCTTCATTTTCAGCATATTGATGTAATTTTTTACTATTTGAGAAAGAAAGGGAAGTACGGTGTTGATGTTCCAGTAAAATTCACAACTACTGACTGTTGGTTTAACTGCTTGATTTCGAATTTGTACAAGGAATTTTTGGAGAAAAACAGAGACATGAATTTGATTACTGAAACAGATCCAATTGCTGAGTATATACTTGGGTATTTTTTAAGATGTAATGTTCCTTGGTCTACTGTTGATGAAGTCCTTTTCCCTATAAATCTGTCTGATAAGTGGCACTGGACGAGATTGTCATTCAAAGATCTGTGCATTTATGTATATGATTCCATGAGTGGCGCGCGACAGAATAGTGCAGTTCGGAAGATCAATTGAACCATACTCAGTGTTGCTCCCATATTTCCTTCATCGTATTGGTTTTTGGGACACAAAGGAGAATCCTATGGGAATCCCCGCCAATGATCCTTTTGAGATTCATGTTGTTGATGGGTTGCCGACGCAAGATAACACGTAAATTATTATTGAATATTTCTGATTCTTATTCATTTTTTGTGCATGAATTCCTATTTGGATATTATCCTAACTTTTATTCAATGTTTATGTGCTACCTTGTATGTAGTGATTGTGGTGTTTATGTTGCTGCATTTGCTGAGTACATCATTCAAGGCAGCAGTATTCCTAAAGCTATTGATATTGATGGGATACGAAACCGATATGGTATATTGCTATGGGATTACGGAGTGAAGAAACAAAGAGGACATGCAGCTAGTGATGATGAGTCTACTGGTAGATTGAAGGATCAGACAAAAAAGGATAACAAGAAAAAGAGCAAGTCGCATTCCGTTGTTGATGACAAGTCTTTTAAGGATAACAAGAAAAAGGGCAAGACGCATGCCGTTTGTGATGACAAGACTTTGAAGGATATCAACAAAAATAGCAAGTTGCATGATGTTGGTGATGACGAGACTTTGAAGGATATCAAGTTGAAGGGCAAAATGAAGTAGTTTGGGATAGTTTAACAGAAAATTCACATGTAGTTTTAAGATAGAAGTAGTTTGGTTCTGATATTGTCTATGATTGGATACAGTTGCATACTTATATCACCTTTTATGCTTTTTGTTTGGGATGTCTTTGAACAATATGTTTGAAATGCTAATGTTGAATATTACTTTTAATTGCGACTTATTGTGTAGTTTTCAGTTAATAGTGAAATTATGAAAATTTCAGATTTTGTGTAGTTTTGACTTTTCTACAGTTTTAGTTTTGTAATTTATACAGTTTAATCTATTTCGACAGCTTTTGCATTTTCGACAGATTTTGCAAATTTAGCTGGTGTTGCTAAGTTGCTACAGGAAGTTTTGTGAACGATGTTTTGGGGGCAGCTAACTGTATATAAACTGTATAGCGACAGTCTATTTTGTATAGTGATATCTATCTGTATATTTTTTGGATAGTCACAGTCTATTGTATATAAATTGTATAAATATACAATTTTTATTTTGTATATTTAATTGGTAATCCCTCTTTTTGTATAGTTTTTGTATGGTGACATCTATTTTGTATATTTTTTGTATAGCTATAGTTTATTTTGTATTTTTTTTTGTATAGGAACAAAATATTACATATAAATTGTATAGTGACAGTCTATTTTGTATATTTTTGTATAGTAACAGTCTTTTTTGTACATTGTCATCTATTTTGTATAGTGACATCCATAATAGTATTTGAAATAAAACTTCCATCAATACTTTCATTATGACAAAAAGTAGCATCTTAATTCATACATCATAGAGAATCTGATTGCAAATCTCATTATTTTTCCAATTGTAATATTCAGAAGAAAAACTGTTAGAAAATACTAAATCACTGTAGCAGCATCTACTAGTTGTCTTGAGATTCCTGCATGTTCTTCTGTTATGTCCTTGTTTTCCACACAGTCCACATGTAACAGTTTCAGTATACAGATATTCATAAAGTCCCTTGCGTCGCGACTTCGTCGGTCTTCCTGGTTTGCCCTTCACTATCGGTGGTAGGACCACATTATCTAACACCTCTGTTGGAAGGTCCCATGAAGTTTCATCTGGAAGTGGATTAACTGGCACTTCAAATGTCTTCTTGAAGTAGTCCTTGGTGTAATAGGCAGAACAATATTTGGGTGCTTCCATGTTTGTGTAGTCCAATACTTCCATAGCATGTGGACAAGGAATCTCATCCACTTGAAATCGTTTGCACGAGCATTCTCTTTTTTGCATGCAGACTATGTTCCTCCTTTGTTCAGCATCCATTACTACATATACATAATCGGTTGAAGGCCTCACCTAAATTTAAATAGATATCATTAGTAAAACTAAAACATGGATATGACAAGTATTAATGCATTTTTGTCAAAGTATGTTGCTCCGGCGTATGAAGTAAGACATGATAAAAGAATATTTACCGTCATCTTCTGCGACAAATAGCTATTTTCCTTCAGTACTTCATGATATTTTTTTCCTACGCCAATAAATGTACTCATTGCAGTCATTCTATTTGTATTATTCCATTCCATAACCAAATTCATCATGTAATCTAGCAAACTCATGATTGGTAGCTCTCTTGCCTCTCTGTTCCTTGCATTGAGTGACTCGGCAATATTTGAAGTCATCACCATGGATCTATTAATAGTGGAATGCACTATAGACCACTTTTCATAACCAACTTGGAATAGGTAACCCCTTACCCTCTTATCAATGATGTCCATATCTTGCATGAGGCGATTAAAATCTTCAATTTTGTATGCTCTGGCCATTGTAAAAAATACTTCCCTCAGCCGGTCATGGTTCTTCTTGAACTGCTTCTTTATGTTATTCCAAAGATGAAAGATGCATACACAGTGAGATACCTCTGGATACACAATCGAAACACCCCTCAATATGCTTGCATGACGATCTAATACGATGCACATCCTTTCCCTTTCCCCAAAAGCCTGTCCAAACATTTCAAAAAACCATTCCCAGGAAGCATCATTTTCAGAATCTACAACAGCGTATGCTAGTGGAAAAATTTTACCTGGTTAAGCAAATAAGAAAGCATCCACATGTTATTTTTGTATACACAGATAAGAACTATCTATACCATATATAATTATTATACGAGTCTGCAACATATTCACCTGCCGCATCTTGTGCGCTAGCTGTTAACATTGTTCCTCTGTGTGATGATTTGAGGAATGTCCCATCAACCACTACAATAGGGTAACAGTATTTTCATCCTATGATTGATGCATTTAGTGCGACAAAAACATACATGAAGCGTCCGTCCTATGATTTATGTAACATTGTGAAAGAACCAGGATTTGTCATATTTATCATATACAAGTGACCCGGCAGTTTTCTATAAGATTCGCGTGGTATCCCTCTTAGTAGTTCATGCGCCTTTTCTTTTGTTCTATAAGCTTTTACGTAACTCATATTAATCACATACTGTTGTTTCATGTCACTCATGATGTCTGCCGGAGTGTATATTGTTTTTGGATTGGCATATTTGTTGCAAATCATTTTTGCAATGGCAGACGAAGTAGCATGACGTTGTGAAAACAGTCTAGTCATCTCTGGGCAAGTGTGAACATCATTGAACCGTCCAACCTTGAAGACATTTGATTTGTGTAGACTTGAAGATCTAAGACTCCATTTGCAACTTTCAACCACGCATATAAGACAATACCTATTTAAAATATAGTGTTATGATAATGTATTTCTTCAGATTTTTGCACTTGTGTCTCAAATAAACAACCAGTATACATATGCAATCTCACTATACAATAATTATATATTTTTTATACAGATCTGTATATATAAATTTACACTATACAATAGTTATACATTTTTTAAACAGATCTGTATACATAAAATTACACTATACAATAATTATATATTTTTTATACAAATCTGTATACATAAAATTATAGAGAAGTGCAATCTCATAAGTAGAAATCATAGTTCCGTGCACTTCTTCTACGTTCTGACATTGTAAACCAACTGAAGTTGTTGCGAGTAAGTTTCCAGCCGAAGTTGTTGCGAGTAAGTTGCCACCCGAGTATGAACTTGAATATGAGCATTCAGCACTTGAATACACAGTTTTCAATGTTATGCATAATGGATATTCAGGTTTTTCTTTTTCATCTCCATATACAAGCGCACGCTCATATCATTGTATATTGGAATTGCTATATAGCCATTTTTACTGTATATTTTTTCTCCATTGCACTTGTAATTGGATCTCTACCCAATTGCTTGTATATCTCATCAACAAAATAATCATAGCTACAGTCCGAATTGATCAACACGCCATTAACAAGGAAATTAACAAATTTACTCTCACTTACTCATTCACCACTGTGTTGAAGTAAAACCGGAATCAAAGTTGGAACGGTAGTTCTAACATTCACAATCTCCATAGACATTAGTTGATTTTGTCGATTTTGTATCAATTTCACAATTTAAGAACGAAATCTCAATTCTATTAAGCTGATTGTAGGCAACAATTGTGCAAAAACTTTGAATTTCAGCGTGAATTTTTGGGAGCTCTTCTCTGGGTTTAATCTTCAGAAATCCTAGAATTTTTTTCACAATGTGAATAATTGTGTGACTTTTATAGTGTTTGGAGGTTGAAGATCCCATACTGAACGCGTGAATTTAGGATACAAAATCGATTATGACTGCTTTCCTTTTCGTTTGCGTTGAGCGTATAGTTTCAGCTATTTCAGTTGCTAGCCTTTGTTATTGTTTTGAGGCTATTACTTGTAAGCGATTATTTTGTGGCTATCAGATGATATAAGTTTGACCCTAGTGGCTACAAATGAAGTTTTCAATACCATCTTAATTCTTACACAGTACAAAATATTACCGTTGTTTTACATGATATAGAGTGGCATTTATTAACAACATGGTAACATGTAACTATGCGTTAAAAGGTCACATAGTTAATGTTATCATGTTGTTTATAATGACAATCTAAAAAAATCAAACTTTGAACTGGCGGGTAAAATCTAGAAGCATGGAGATAAAATCTAGTGCTGTGAAATCATCATTTACTTCTAGGCAATAGAAATCGATATCGTTAGAACATTTTAGCTTTGAGTATTTTCGATAATCAAAATTATTTTTCTTTGGAGACCTTTGAGGAGTTTTTGACCAATATTGTCCTTATTTTTTAGGGTAGGTCTATTTTGGTCCGTCAAATATAATTCTGAGCATATTTAGTCCTTTAAGTATGCAAAAGTGGAGCATCTTTAGTCTCACTGACAGAATAAGTCCAAAAACTAACGGTGTTAACCAACTCTGATTCATGAAGCAAATCTTCTGCTCTGAAGCAAAACGTTTCCTCCCTTTATTGGATAACGCAAATTATCACTTTAATTCCTCATTTTTAGATAATGTCTTATAAACTTTTGACCTTGAAAATATCCCCTTCTATGTTAGTTTTCAATGAGAAAATGACACTCTATAGCCGCTGTAAAAATAATAGACGAAAAAATTATAAAATTTGTATATTATTTTTTATATATATACGTTTTATATGTTAATATACAAAAATCATACAAATTTTATCTACTTTTTCGGCTACCAGATGTAAATAGTTTTTGACGCGGGCTAAAAGTGACAATACAATCTGGTTATTCATTTGCTTCAATAATATGCCTAGAAATGATCTTGGCAGCTCTATTTTTTTCAAATTTACCTTTCTTTTTGGAAAAATCAACCGAAATCTTTAAAAGTAAAAGTTTCAACGTTAAAATCTTAAATTTATCACTATTAGTGGGTGTTGGTTTATAAAATATTTTCGATAAGTAAATTAAGAAGACAGTGAGTGCCGAAACCAACCCCGTAATTGATCTTGGACAGATTCTGTCAGTGAGACTAAAGGTGCTCCACTTTAACATATTTAAGGGACTAAATATGTCCAGAATTATATTTGAAGGACCAAAATAGACCTACCCTCAAAGATAAAGGAGAATAATATTGGCCAAAAACTCGACCTTTGAGTATTCTGAAAAACTTTGGGAAGTAGTGTTGTTATACATCATTTTAAATTGGTTAAATAACAACATTTTGGCAATTTTGGGTTTGATTAAAGTAAAGGAAATCTCCATTTAGTTTTTAGTTATATAAGGAACCTAAAATTAATTAGACTAGTGTTCAACGTCAAATTCCATTAAAGTCTATTTTGAGAGGGGCGTGAATTTCGAGCCTAACAATGATGTACTTGTTGACATTTTAAAGGGATAAACTTTGGATTTGAAGTGTAAAGAGTATTCTCTAGGAGCCAAACAAGGTTGCAGTCTTTACATTCAGGTTTAGTAACCTAGATGATTCATTCAATCTTTCCAAAACTTGATGTTCTGTGGTTTATTTTTCTGTTGAATTCGTGTTAATACCCAATTTTTTCCTGTATATTTTTTTTTATATGCAAAATATTTTTAAAATAGCATATATAAGTATATCCAAGCATTTTACTATTTTTTCCCATAATTCTTAAGGTTTTTCAAACTGATTTATTTCCTTTTCCTCCATAAAAGCCCAATGATTATTTTCAAAATTATTACTTTTTGGTAATTTAATTATTAGGATTTTATATTTATACTGAAATATAGCTAACGTAATTTTTGTACATTTTTTATAAATTTATTTAGTATTTTAAAAGCTAAATTGCATATAATTGCAATATTAGCCTATTTTAAGATTTAATTGCGTTTATAATTACAAAATTGGCTCCGGTATTTTAATCTAATATCTATATATTATTAATTAATTTAGTACCTTTAATTTATTTCCAGAAAATATTTTACTATTTTTTATAAAATAAATAAGAAAAAATGGCTATTTAGATGTTAGCATGTTTTTATTCCAATTTTGGCCAGATTTGCCACCCATGATCCAACCCAATTTCAATTTAAAATTGCCCAGCCCAATTCCTAAAACTACCCGACCCACAGCCCGTCTAAAACGACCCGCCCGGCTCCCCTTTTAATCTCAGCCGTTGATCTAACAGATCAACGGCTCACGTTCTCCTTTCCTTTTTTTTAATTTACCAACACCCCCTAAACCTAAATCATTTTCACCTACCAGCCGCCTCTGAACCCTCCCATTCTCTCAAACTCTCTCAACCACTCTCAGAAACCCTAGCCGCCATCTCTATCTCCACCACTTCCACCCAAAAGCCACCGGAATCCATGGCTTCCAAAGCCATTGGAGTCCTATTCCCACCTCCTATAACTCCTAAACGCCTGATTTTTGAAGGTTCAGGGCCTGACCACGACGAAGCTTGGTCCAGGTTCGAGTTCTGTGGCCATCTCCGGCCTAGCTCCGGCATGCCATGGCTGTTCGAGCCTGATTTTGATTTCTCCGGCTTAGATCAGTGACTTTTCCAAGCCTTTCTCACTACTGGGGTTCTTTTGAAACCCTAACCCTTCGAGGTTTTTCTGATTCGTTTAGATTCGTTGTGTATCTATGCTTCCCCTAAGCTTTTAAACGATTTTTCTGGCTTTTCTTCCAAAAAAACTACTTTCAAAACCATTTCTTTTCCGATCTAGGGTTTTCTGAAAGCATTTAAATGTTTCTCTGACTTTCTTTTTCTTTTCGTGTGTATTTGCCTCTACTGTGTTCTTGTATTTTCTTCTATCGTGTTCTTGTATGCTTCTTGTACATTTCTTCTACTGTATTTTCCTATACTGTATTCTCGTATGCTTTTTCTACTGTATTTTCCTCTAATGTGTTCTTGTGTGTTTCTTCTACTGTATTTTCTATTATTATGTTCTTAAAGTGTTTCTTATTAAGTTCCATCTACTGAGCTCTGTTTAAGTTTCTTTTAAAACTTCTTAG